AAAATATATTCTTTCATGTATTTCCTCATTATTAGAAAACATGCTAATATTTGATCTTGGAGAGCAATTCCATTCATTCCCTTATTGTACTCTGTAATACAATTTGGCTAAAGTGCGTTTGAATCCTTGTGTAATTATTTCGGCTGTTTCATGTTTTGCCGACAACATATAAACATTTCGCTTATCTTTCCATTTTAGAGCGAGTATTAAAAGTAGTCTAAAGAGCCGCACTGGTAGGAAATGAAAAATTAAAAATTATTTTCACTTTTTCATGTATTAGCAGATATTTTTTCCGCGTCATTTGTTATGAGCAACAGACAAGATCAGTGTTAATAGAATCACGTTAAACTTTTTCCAATATCTCTCATGTTTCAGACAATAAAATAGTTTGAAGAAAAGGGCCACTTTGACATGTTTTCAATGATACCTCGGCCAAATGATGAGTTCGGGAGTTGAAATTTTTTATATTGTATTTTGTCGTATAGACCCATAAAATGGCATCAAAATCATTAAAATACCAGGATGGGGCGGATTCTGTATAGAAACTCGCCCATGCCATTTCTTTTCATTTAGTTCTTTTAGTATCCCTTTACTGACCGATTATAGTTATGACACCTATCGTTCAATATTAGTGGGAGATCAGCAATTATTTTGGCACATTTTAGACTTCTTTCCTGCATATTTGTTTATTTTTTATCAGTAATTATGTTTAGTAAACCCTCTAAACATGTTACAACTACTTCTAAGAGAAAAACTGCTTAAAAAAAATCGATGTAAATTATTTGTAATGAACCTTAAAATTCCTGACATTGATAAAAGTAAATGTATCAATTATGACTGATTTATTAAGCTGTATATTTATATCAGAATTATACAATCAGATGCAAGTAATTTGAATTATGCATATTAAAAAAAATTCCTCACTCATAATCGAAGGCCCTTAAATATTATTAACCATTATACTGTTATTTTATCATTTCTCGCAGGAAATACATAATTATTACATTTTTCTTTGTATTCCTGCATTGTTTGTTATATTATCAAGGTTTAAGGCTGACACTAATCACCAATCAAGACATTTAGCGCTACGACGCCATTTGTTTTATTTTGTACTGGAATATTTGATCTTAACAAAAATAAGCGCGATCGTTGAGAGCGGCTCTAACTAAAAACGCAGATACTGACGTTTGTTCGGAGATTGACTTACCGGCCATGACCCTACTACTTTTTATTATCTTTAATCTCATCAAACTCAACCACTGCGTATCTTTTGATAGTTTCCGTTTTTAAATTTCTAAGGTTTAAAATTAGCACAATATCCCAAGAGTAATTAAAAAATGTTTGCTTAAGCACGTTACACTTACGATTGATTCATTAATGGGTCGATTCTTGGCTTCAATTTTACAGTAAGGTCACGCTTATTTGTGCAACACTTTTTTTTATTGATTTATTTGGCCTTCGGCTGTTAGGTCATTTCGCAACATTTACATATTTTGGTATACATTATACAATACAGTTCAATAATCTTGTTATTACATAAACACTATAGAACCTAAATTATGATATAAACTTACATAGCCACATACAATATATATATATATATATATATATATAATCAAATCTTGATTTTGCAAATATATAGAAAATTCAGTATAATTTTGTAAATATTGGGGTTTGTTCAAAGTCATAGCAATTGCCGTGTTAATGGGGAAAGTTATATTGTTTCTATATAGTTCTTGCAGAAGTTCTTCTCTTTGTTTTGAGAATAGGCAGCATTTCCAAAGGATGTGGTCTATTATTTGAAATTCTGGTCCACACGAACAGAAGGTATCTTGTGTTCGTCCAATTTTGTATAAATGAGACCTACAAAATGTGTGAGCGCATCTAATTCTATTTATCATGGAAATGTCTTTTCTGGTCATTTTTAGTTTGCTGCACCAGGTACTAAATGTGACTTGGGGTTTGCAGGGTTTAAATGAAGAGCCCTTTGAAGTCGATTCTAGGTCATAATAGTTTTGCCATTGACTTAGTCCTAGTGTTCTTATTAATCCTTTTAAATCAGTTATTGGGGCCTTTTTCATAGGAACTACCGCCGTGCATGCTTCTTTAGCTAGTTTGTCTGCCCGTGTATTTCCCCAAATTGAGGAATGGCCTTTAATCCAGGCTAACTTAATTATATATCCAGAATCCAGGAGGGCTTCTATTTTGTGAATGACATCAAGAGTCAAGAAATTTCATCTTCTCTTGGTTTGTTCAGGGCCAAAAGGGCGGATTTGCAGTCTGTTAAAATTATTGATTTTCTGAGCTTTTCATTTTTAACGTACTCTAAAGCCGCATTGATGGCTGTTATCTCTGCTGTAAATACCGATGCAAAGCTAGGAAGGGACCCTTTGGAAGGGACAAAAAACGCGCAGCCGCCGTCGTTTTCCTTTCTGGATCCGTCTGTGTAAATAACTGTAAAGTCTTTGTAATTGTGTTGTCACCATTCTTCAAATTCTAGGTTTCTAATATGATTTTGATATTGCAATATAAGGTTCCTGAGAGTTGTAATTCTTGGAAAAAAAGTATTTCTGTGGGAATAGAAAAGCTGGAAGTTTACTGTTTGTATAAGTCATATCTTCCAAGGGTTTGATGCAGTAGAAAGCCGCTATCAGAGGGAGAGTAGGTTTATTCTTCCAGTAAATCATTTTTTAGTGCAGCTCAGCTAATGTCTGTAGTTGTTTTATAAAGAACGTGTAATCTGAGTTAAACTTTTTAATTACGAACCTGTTCGTAAGTATTTCTCTTCTGATTTTTACTGGGGATTCGCCAGCTTTCACTAGAAGGGAGTTGCAAGGTGTTGACCTTATAACCCCCAGACATAATCTTAATGCTGAGAATTGCACCTTGTCTAAGGTATACTGATTCTTAGAAGATAATCCTTCATAAATCTGACATCCGTAATCAATATGAGATCTTACGATGGCTTTGTATACGGATGTAAGGGAGGTCGGATGTGCTCCCCATCTTGTTCCTGATAGTCTTTTAATAATATTGATTCCTTTTTCCGATTTTTGTACCACTTCTCTGAGGTGTGTCTGGAAGGACATGTGTTTATCGAAGGTTACTCCTAGAATTTTTATACTGTCACATAATTTGATCTGCAAATTGCCTATGTTTAAGACGAGAGAGTTCAGTAAATTTCTATGTCTGCTAAAGATGATCGCTTTTGATTTGGTCGGAGATAGACGTAAATTATTAGCGTTAAGCCACGTTGATACTTTAATAAGAGAGTCTTGGATTTTATTTTTGCATTCTTCCATTGGAGCAGCGGAGCAATATATAAATATGTCATCAGCATATTGGAGTATTTTAACTCCATTTAGTGTTTGTGTGTTAAGGTCAGACATATAAATATTGAACAGTAAAGAACTCAAAATTGAGCCTTGTAGTAGACCCGTAGAAATAACTCTTCAATAATCTTATTTTTGAATTTAATGTAAATTGCCCTGTTTTCTAACAGTGACATGATAACCTTTGTAATTTTATGTGGAAGGTTCATACAATTTAATTTTTGTATCAATATATTGTACTCCACATAGTCATATGCCTTGTGGATATCTGCGGCTATTAATAGTAAGTATCCATTCCTTGAGTTTGAGATGTGTATATCATTCGATAATACACTCAGTAGGTCAATTGTACTACATCCACGCCTAAAACCCATCTGGCAATCATTTAATAGAGATCTATTTTCTGCATAGTATTGAAGTCTTCTTTTTAGTAAGCCTTCGAAGGTTTTATGTAACATTATATATGTAATGTGATCTATTCCGGGAGCGCTATCCTTTTTAGTTTTCAGAAATAGGTTTAGTTCTTCTAGACTAAATTTGGCGTTTAAATTGGAGATATCTTTGTCTATATTATGAGGAATGTTAACCATGGCTTCCCTTTGGGCTGAGCCCGGAGCAAAATTTTTTAGGATGGATTCGTAGAAGTCGGAGTTCCCAGGAATGAATTGAGTGAATCGATTATTTTTGTTGTTAAAGGATTTGATTAAGTTACACATGTGCTAGAACGAATTGCTCCAAGAATTGCAAGACAAGATACTCACCTAAGAAAATCAATATCACTGTCTGAGCGGTTAACACTGACATTGAGATTTCTTGCTACTGGTAAGTGGTATAAAACAATTATTTAAAATAATTCAAAAACATTTTTTTTACTATTTATTTATAAAAATTGTACCAATATTAATTGTAAATAAATTATATTACAGGTGACAGGTATCAGTCATTAAGCTATTTGTTTCGGATTCCACCAACAACTATTTCTCGTATTATTCCAGAGGTGTGTGATGCTCTGTAATAGGAATTGAAAAATGATTATTTGAAGGTATGAGAAAATGTTAAATGTTGTCATAATATTGCGTTAAAGTAGTCTCATTTTGCGTTGGAGAAATCATCTGGCATATTACGAGAGTGCTCGATGAACCGGAGTACTCACTCAAATTACTTAGAGAGACTCGCATGTCGTCTTCCTCATTTGCGTCTAAAATAGATTTCTGAATCTTGAGTTTTCTTTTTTTTTCGGATATCTTCAGAGCGTATTCCTCTCAACTCTGCAGTAACACACTTCAAATACGTCCAATTGATCTTTCGGAGCTCGTAAACAAGTTAAAGTTTCATTCAGCAACTCATCATCCTTTTTAACTGAATCGGGTGCCCTTTTTCATGAGGTTTTGTAACAGAAGTCTGCCCAGGCCCAGAATTATCTTTTATCTCCTCATCATGATGGTCCTAAAAAAAATAAAATAACAAATTAAAATTAAATGATTTGTTCTTTTTTTTACAGATTCCTTGTACATCAGAGGAGTGGGAAAATGAAGCCAACGATTTGATGTTACTTGGAACTACCCAAATTGCATAGGAGCTATTGATGGAAAACATGTGGTAAAGAAGGCACTAGAAGATTCAGGAAGTCTATATTATAAATACAAGGAGACACAGAGTATTGTATTAATGGCTCTTGTGAATGCTGATTACAAATTTTTGTATATAGAAGTAGGATGTAATGGGAGAGTGTCAGACGGGGTTGTATATGCGAATTGTTCACTATCGGCATGTTTGGAAAACAACTCTTTGAATATACCCGAAGCAAAGCCATTACGTGGCCAGTCAATTCCGGTGCCATATGTCATTGTTGCCGATGACGCTTTTCCATTAAAAACCTACATTATGAAACCATTCCCTTTTAGAGACCAACCTGTTGAAAATCGTCTTTTTAGTTATAGACTTTCTCGAGCACGTCGCGTTGTAGAAAATGCATTTGGTTTGCTTTCTATGCGTTTTCGTTTTCTTAGAAAGCCAGTCGAACTATGTCCTCAAAAAGTAATAAAGCTTGTTCAAGCTGCTTGTGTGCTACGTAATTATTTAATTGAAAAAAAGTCGACCAGATATGTTTCTGAAGATGTTGGCGAGAGCCACTTTCACAAAATTCATTTTATCCATTACAACAAGCAGGCGCGAGAAATCCAACTTGCACAGCTTAGCAAGTACGCGAAAATGTTAAAACGTACTTTATGTCCAGAGCAGGTGAACTACGGTGGCAATATAAATATGCTTGATTTTTTTATTTATTAATTTTTATCTTATTTTGTCATATGATTTTTGTTATATGATTTTGTCAAATGTATCCTACAATAAAAATTTTAAATCACAATATGAATTTACTTTATTTACTTCCCAGCACATCTGTAATAATAACATCAGGGGCACTGCCAACACTGACAATTGAATCCTCTGTTGAATTTATCTGGATATTCATAAACTTGACAGCCTCAAAAAACTCCCACTTCGGTTTATACCTTTCATCTGCACCCTGACCACTTTTGAACTTTAATCAAATGCTCACTTAACTGGCATCTCAAATTATGAATTTTGTCTTTTACTGTTTTAACACCCAAATTTAAAGACATTGCTATTGTTTCCAAGTACTTATATTTCAGGTTTCAATTCCTATACTCCTTCAACCTGACATTCCACAATTCTGGACGATCCTCTACCATTTCAATTAATTGAAACACTTTATTTCTCTCCCAAACAAACTTTTCGCACTGTTCTTCATCACATAATGCTTCCATTTTCCAAAATAAAAAAAAAAAACTTTTCTTGGGAACACAAATAAACACATAGATAAATAACCTAACCTATCATACATAACCTAGCAAAGCAAAACACAAAAAACTGTACGTATAGTACAAAAAAATATCCAACAATTTGAATAATGCTAGAGTTAATAGCTAGAGCGTGGAAGTTGTGCAGAGACCCCTGTGTACACTGAATATCATTTGTGTAGCGAGATTGTCTACGGAGAGCGTAGAGTGACTTTCGCTAGAGAGCTCTAGTAGCTGTGTACACTATGGGACTCTACATAGAGCGCTCTATTAGTGCTCTAGCTAGAGCGACTCTAGCCCAAAACTCTACAGTGTATCGGCATCTTAAAACAAGCAGCATCTTAAATCATCTGTCTTTATGCATTCTTGTAAGGCGTGTTTTTCTGCGCATTTTGGACATCTAACCTCTCCACGACCCTGATCACGAACGTGTCCGAATCTCCAACATTTGTGGCATTGGATTACTTTTTTCACAAATGGGGTTACTGGGCATTTAACAGAGTGGATCGCTACTTTTTCTGGCAATTTTGTCCCTTTAAAAGTAAGTTTAACACATTGTGATTTGTATGTCTTATGATTTTCTTTTTTTGATCTTATACATTTTACTCCCACTATCGGATACTCGGATTCGATGAAATCTAAAGTTTCTTTCTCAGGTAATTCGCTATCAACGTCAAAAATGATTCCGGTCCGCACCGTTAAATATTTGGGGATCTACGCTCTTAGATTATTCCATTTGAAAAAATCATCATCTAATAATCTGTTAGCTGTCATACCATTACTTAAAATCAATTTCACTTTGTTTTTGCCAATTACTCTAATTTCTTCCAGATTTGTTTTCAAATTTGGCCATGCATCATGAATTTTTATTCCAAGTGTGATAGGATGCAGGCGTCCTATGTTATTATTATAAGATATTCTACGTATATTATATATGGTCCTTTACGCAACTGTCATATCGTAGTTTATACTGTTCGTAATTGTCGGGCATCATTTCGCTTTCTTTGTCATTATCTTTTGTTATTTTACTTAAGTCCTCACCACAATCATCAAATTGCATTACGTTATCTAACTCGTGAAAGTCATGCAACATTTTATCATTCTGATCATTTATTTCGGTATTACTTGACTGCGCACTAATATTTTCATTGGTCATTTCTTCATTGTTTGCATGGATTGTTTTTTTTTATTATTATTTACGATTTATTGGTTTTATAAACTAGTATATTAGCCATATACATGAGTTAATCTTATTTAAACATTTATACTTTATTACATCATATCTACACTATATCTTAAAGTCTTGTCTTACGTATATATCGTTGACTTATGTATATTTCATTTGATATAAGTATACAGAGCACCATATAATCTTATATCTGTCAACATTGTTATAAAATTAATTTGAAGGGAGATTTTTTGTTTTATTATTTCCTCCCATAGTTTTTGCCCTTTTCCCAACGCTCATACTCCATGATGATGTGCTCTGCATCCGCCCTAGTCGCTTCACCCAAGCAATAGCAACTAGGATCGATATCGATCTCAATTCTGCTTAGATGGAACGGAGCGTATGAATGATTAAGTCTTCATCTACATAGTGTAGCGTAAAACGGCCGACACTCCGTAAATCCGTCATACCATGGTTTGGCTGGAATTTTTCCTTGTATCATACCATAAAATCTACCTTTAATTCTTATAGATAACTGAAAATCCAATTGCCAAATGTTCCGTATGTTTGCTCTGTTAAATCTTTTTAACTTCCCGTAGGGCAAGTTATAGTAATCGCAAAAAAATCGAAAATGAAAATTTTTATATATCTTTACGTTTTAGAGATTTCTGAACATTTTGGCATACCTTAGAAAAAATGGATGTATGTGTGTATGTGTGTATGTATGTATGTATGTATGTATGTATGTATGTATGTATGTATGTACGTGTGTGTATGTATGTGCGGATACAAATTTTCGTCGACGATTTCGGGAACACGGATCAACCGATTTGAATAATTCAAAAAACATTCGATTTGTATTGATAAGGAGACGTGCTGATTAGTTTTTGGCGAAGGCAGGTCTAGCCGTTCCAAAGATACGGGGCAAAAAGTGCCAAAAATGGTACCTCCGTTTTTAAGAGAACAGAGCGTCCGATTTGAATAATTCAAAAAACATTTTACTTGTATTGACAAGATGTAAAATTGATCAAATTTTCATGAAGGCAGGTCTAGCGGTTTCGGAGATATAATGAAAAAAGTAAAAAAAAATGCCATTCGGCGGTTAAAAATGATCATTTGACGTATGCACATCAAATTATCAGATATTTTATAGAGATTTTAACAATAAGTATAATTTTTTTTTACATTTCTATGGGTTCCGTACCATTGCTTATGCGTTAGACGGCGGCGCGGCACTTGCGAGCTTTGACATTTCGTCTCTATGCAGTTCAAGCAATCGCACTTGCTTTGAAAAAAAGTTCAGAATTTCCAAAATATGTCAAAATGAAGAAAACATTTTTTTTTTAAAAAATTTTCGTTTTAAAAAAAAATGTTTTTTCTCAAAAAAAATTTTTTTTTTTCAAATAAAAAAATTTTTTTTTTCAAAAAAAGTAATTTTTTGTCAAATTTATAGTTTCTCAAAAATCTATTTTTTTTAAGTAAAATTTTTTCAAAAATGTTAATCGTTTTTAAAAAAATAATTTTTGGTACGGGAAGTTCCAGCAATTTGCCTTAAGGCACGATGCCCTAATTGCCTTAAGACAGAATTCCACTTACAGCTAGTTATGTCTCTATATGATATTCCATCCACAGCAACAATCCCTGTATTCATGGCATCTTTGGCACTGTTAACCGCCGCTTTGTTGCCAGCTATCCCAATATGGCTTCTTACCCATATAATGCGTAGCTCGCATTTTTTTATAATATCGCATGTATGACATTTAGTGTATCTATCGTTAATAATGACGGGTCCTTTCCCAACGACAACATGCCCTCAAGAGCAGACCTGCTATCGCTGATTATGACCGATTTCTTCACATTATGTTCATCAATATATTTTACGTACCTATTAATAGCGTACATTTTCGCTGTATATATTGACGCATCTTTATCTAGTCTATATTTTGTGAAGGAATTTGTCCCCTGATGGTAAAAGCACGCACCAACACTATCTGAATTCTTCGAACCATCTGTATAAAATATATCATACTCTTTAAATGTTTCATGTATACTTCCTTCGACCTCCATCCTACATTTATTGGTATCTCCGCTATAGTGCGCATTGGCGAAATCGATTTGAATTATATTTTTCAGATTAGAAGAAGTAACATTGTACTTGAAATGAAATCTTGAGGTTGCTGCCCAAGTTTGTAAGAGATTACATTTTTCTACCACTTCACGATACGCAATTACTGGTACAGGCCTCTTCCAATTTCTCCAGTATGGGCTGTTCAGTTCATTATTGGTCTGATTCACATTCTCTAATACTACGTTGTTAGCTTCAACATATAATGCATTGATAGGCGTGGAAAGCATGACCCCCAAACAAGACCTCAAAGCTTAGTTTTGGATTGTGTCTAGTTTGCTAAGTACACTTTTGGATGCATCGCCATATATGAAACTACCGTAATCCAACTTAGATAGTATTAATTGCTTGTATATTCTAAGAGAAATCTTAATATCAGCACCATAATTTATGTGATTCAGAAACCTGAGAATATTCAGTGCTTCTTCACATTTAGAAACTAGATAATCGATGTGTGGTTTCCACTTTAATTTATCATCAATGAATAGCCCGAGACATCTAATTGTAGGTTCAACCTTCAGAACATAATTGTTTATGCTGATATTATAGTCTGGATTTATAGACTTCCTATGTCTTGTAAAGAGGCTTATTGTACTTTTATTTTCTGACATTAAAAACCCTAACGATATGCACCAATTATGGAAGAGTTCTATTGTTTTATTCATTTTTCAATGGCCTCATTCAAAGTATGAGCCTTATGTAGAAGTATAATATCGTCCGCGTACAGCATAATTTTGACTTCCAGATCCGATTTGTATATTGTTACACCTGAGATTAATCGTGCGGTCTGATATGAGGTGGTCTATATGGAGAATAAATCTTCTTGGCATCTTGATATCAGACAGAATCTTCATTAATATAGGTATTTGAACGCAGTTATAGGCATTAACTAAGTCCACGTTTGCAGTAATCAGAAGACTATTTTTTGCTAAATTAATTTTGATTTCATACACTAAGGATGTGATAACGTCAATCGTGCCCTAATTATTACGAAAGCCTAACATACAACTCGGGAATATCTTGTTGCTTTCCGCCCACCATTCCAATCTTCTTTTGATCAGTCGTTCGTATTTTTTCGCTAAACATGAGGACAACGATATAGGACGATATGATTCTGCTCTTGAAGGATCTTTGCCTGGTTTAAGAATTGGAATTGTAATTATTTTTTTCCTGT